ATATGGTATATAGAAAATATATTGTTATGATTCCCTATTATTCTTTATTCATCCACGACGTTACTTATATAAAAAGACAATATTGATTTTGGAAGCGTTGATCATTCATTTAATGCATGAGAGAAAAAATTAATGAGTTTTTTTCAGATTTGGGAAATCCAATTACAGTCACAGCAGATGTCGATTGTCTCATAGGCAATTGAACATTAATTTTTAAATAAAACGTAAAAATGCTTTGAATAAATAAGTGCGTATGGTTAGTATATAAATGAGGACTAGTTTGGAGGAGCTCAAAGCAAACGGGAAAATGGCTTTGAGATTGTACACCACCGCTGTAGGTCCACCAAGCAGAGCTGTTTTATTATGTGAGAAAGCAATTGGTTTAAATTTAGAACACATCGAAATTAATTTGCTGCAAGGAGATCATATGAGTCCCGAATTAGTGAAGGTAATTAACAAAATCAATTCAATCTATTTATTAAATTAATTGTATTTAGATGAACCCACAACATACAATTCCCACTTTAACGGATGACGATATCGTGATATGGGATAGCCACGCGATTATGGCATATCTCGTAGGCAAATATGGTGGAGACTGCGAATCCCTCTATCCGAAAGATTTAGCGCAGAGATCTTTAGTGGATCAAAGGCTCCATTTCGATTCTGGCTGCATCTTCTATTTAGTAAGAAGAATTGGGGTAAGTAAACAATTTGTTGTTATAATAATCAATTATTTCTGATTGCTATTGCTTATAGGAGGGTATCATGTGTAAAGATTCAATAACGCCTGATGAGACATGCAAATCCCTTGCCCATCGTAACTATCAATTTCTCGATGATTTCTTGATCGACAAAGATTGGGTCTGCGGAAATTCTATCACAATAGCCGATTTCAGTTTAATATCTTCGGTTACTACATTGGATCTGTTAGTTCCTATCGGGGACACTTATCCTAATATCACAGCGTGGCTCGGTCGAGCGGAAGAATTAAGTTATTACGATGTAAATAGAAGCGGATTAGAGAAATTCAAAGAGTTTATAGAAATTATATCAACAAGTTAAATTTTGTATTTACATATTGTAGAAATTGTACGATTCTATTCGTATGTTAATAAATAGTTTTATTTCACCTGAGTAAAGACTTATTATGTTATTCTTTTTAAATTTAGTACAATGAAATTGAATTAGTTATTTTTTTTTTGGGTAAAATACTAAAAAAGAAATATATACGTTTGGTGGACCGAGTATGCGGTATAAGCAGATGCAACGGTATGCATTATTCTGGATTATGAAAGCCCGGTTGGGGAAATAAGCTATCAAATTGTTAATTCAACTTTATGGTATGCTATTTTATCGAAACTGCCGGTTCCATTGTTTCTCGCACTGACGGCCGAACAACGGCTTTACGTAATATGGGTTTTTATATATGTAAATGCGCTTCAACATTTGTACGAATTACCCCACATCCTACAGAAATTTTATTTATAATTACGCTCTATACTTTCCGTAGTTTTCAGTATTAAACTGACTGTTCTGTAACTGAAATTATTATATTATAATAGGTGAAGTAAAAACTTTTAAGACTTTAGTTAGATGGCTTTAGTGAGTCATATCTCACGATCTACAAGTTGGATCTTATCATTCTATACTGCGACTTAAAGGCGATATAACGCTTTAAAAAAAGTTCTTCGACAGTTTTGTGTTTAGTGAATCCAGTTGTGTGTTAGAGCATTCCAAATTGGAGGTAGAAAAATAGAGAAAATTCGATACATTCTTCACTACTACAATGGGGAAAAGCAGAGCAGGCGGCCAAAAAAATTCTTTTGTTTATGGATCAAAACAGTATCGAAAGCGTTGGTTCCAAAGCTTTCGTTCTGGTAATATGGATGTCGAAGATGAGACATTTCTGGTAGGTCAATCGTGGAAAATGTTGATAAAATCATGGAAATCGTCGAATTGGATCGGCATGCAAACACTTATTCCATTGCCCAGGAACTGAAGATTAGCCAGAAAACCGTTTGGAGATGATCTCAAGAAGATGCTCGATGTATGGGACAAAAGGCACAGAACTTCACCCAATATATTGATTTCTTAGAGCAATCCCTCGCATAATTCGAAAATTTCAAAACAAATATAAATTTTTTTGATTAAAATTTATTCAGAATTGATATACATTTTGATATTTAAATTTTCGATTAATTATTGAACACTTATAACTGAATTTTATAATCCTCAAAAGAGATATTTGCTGAACAGTTTTCTATGTAATTTACAGGCGTGCAGAGGCAGTACTGTCGTTGATGCATTACCAAAAGTAAACTTTATTTATTTATGAATGGGAGAGCGGAGAACGTGACGGATGCCTATGCAAGCAAACGCAATAATAATCTATGGAAACGACGTGCTCCACCTACGCCTTCCTTCCTTTCGTCCTCCCGGAAAATCTGAATATGAATAATTTAACCTTCAAATGTTTTTCCATCCGTTTTCCGCTTCCCGTTGGACGCGAACGCTAGATTATACTTTTTTATATTTCCTTTTCTTTTTTACAGTTTCTCCATAAATCCCTTCGCCGTTTCCGTTATTATTTGAGTGCCTCCTGTTGGCCCCCACAATACTGGCTATTGCACTAGAAACAAGGATTAAATAACGCAGGAGGCGGCAACAATGAAATACTGAAAAAAAAGGAAGGAAAAGTGTACATCCGCGAGTCCATTGTTCTTTTCTGCAATAGTCTAAACTCGCCGACTGGAACGAAATCATCCCCGTGGGCATCATATTTTTTCTCGGTTATTCTAATCTTTTTTACTTCCTCCTTCCGACTCTCTCTTTCATCCCCTCAATTTTTGTATTCCAACACCCCCCAACACGCGAATTACGTAATCCTCTACATCTCGCCTCTTTTCATAGTCATTCTTGAACTCGTTACGCTTCATTAGTTTCACTTTGTTTCTTTCCAGTTGCGTAATGATTGTGCGTCACATTGTGATCCGATCCGCATCGATTCGTGCAATTATGTTAACGAACCTCAACCTCCCATATGTATCGGTTCGCATTTCCCATAAATAAATATTTAATAATTCGTATGGATGTATTATGTACAAATAAAACGGTTCGGCTCGTGTAGCATTCAGTGTTCAGGCGAATTGATCCTCCTCTCCCTTTGAACAAACATCAAATTCAACAAAATCGCCTATTTGTTTCCCCAACAATATACATTTCAAATACAAACTGTTCATTCGCTGACGCAAAACTGCATGTGTGTATTTGCCGTATTTCCAATTCATGTTATCAACAAACATAACGGACGCTCAATTTGTTCCTTTCTATCACTCGTTTATTTATTTATTGAATAACAATATATTCATGCACTTTATTTACCATTAGATTTATCAATTTAAATACTAATTCATAAATTATTACCATTTCCATAATAATAACACAGTTATATAATTTAATATACATCAAGAATATTAATTTAATGTAATAGTTCTTCATTTTCAACTGCATTTGCACCTGGCATTAATTCACTATGGTAAATTACCCCAAATTGAAAAAAAAACTATGGAATGTGCTAGCGGTATAACATTGATCAACTGTCTATAATCAAGTCTAAAACTGAACGAGAAACAATCTTAATTTATTGCGTTCGGTTAAGTTCGTTTATTAGTGTTGGAGAGAGCAATTAATTTAGCCTCGTACAGAAATACTCTTTGCCCACCTGGGGGATGCAAATTCAATATATTAGTATGTTTACTTGACGAGTACTGCACGATCGATATCGAGAGCGTTCGAAACTTTGTGCAAAGTTCGCATCGAGCCGGAACATTTACAGACTTATAAGATGTAACATTGCGTGGAATAATGAAGACTGCACGAACGAACATTTTGTATAACAGTTTTTCGTAAATATTTTTCGTAACTTTTCAGTAATATTTGATGATGCTGTGTGGACCCTGATCACCATCATTTCATGAATATTTCATCCGCCAAGGCTCATATAGAGCGATGCATAATTTAAACCCTTTTGTTTAGCAGCCCTCCCTGCTTTTTATATACATTTATGTGTAAATTTTTTATTGCCCTTCATCTCAAATTCAAAGGACAATCAAATCTGCTACGATAAAATCAATGCATTAAAGTCTACAGTTTGATTATAATGCATATTACAAACGTTTTTTTACAGCTAAATCATATTTGTGATCATACAAAGTATTACTGAATACTTACTGATTTGGGACTTAATGTTTAATAGAATTTTGTTTGAATGAAGATATATAATTTTACGAAATAAATATATTTATTTTAGCAGATTATCGCATATAATGATGAAAGCACAATTGCTAATAATAATGAGTAATTAATGGGAGCGAATTAGTAATTAAACTTAAATAATTATAACAGTGCTCGAAATAGCATTAGCGTTTAATAATGACTTCAGTTTCATTCCGAGTAAACTAATTATTCTGGGAAATGTGAAAAGGGTTCACGTCGTAATATATTAACTTTTAATTGAGCATTTAAAGCGTAATCAGGACAAATCCAATGCACCAGCAAATAATTTTATATATTTATTATAAATTTATTCGAATTTATCACACAATATTTTTGGAAATTTTACAGAAATCAATTGACCAAATGTTCTTTTAAAACTGTACCGTTATATTTTATTTGATTTTATTTATCCGGCGTTACGTAAATAATTTGATTTGTTTCGTGCTTTCATGTCGGCACAATATTTAATTTCTTCCTTTTTTTTTTCGGATGTGTTTGTGTATGTTTTATGCTCCTTTTTTTTTGTGTATGCGCAGCGAGGGCACAAATTCTAGTTACGTTGAATGGAATTCAGTCCCGACACAAGGGAGGCGGGCGAACATACAGAAAAAAAAACATGATTTAGTCGTGATATGCAGAATAAACATTTTTGTTCGTTTTATCATCATTATTATCATAATAGAAGGCATTCTTTTCATGTTCGTTGCTTCTGCACAAACAGTTTTGGTTATGTAATCGATTTGCGAAAGTCTTTCCAAGGAGCATTTCTATAAATAACACAAAAAGGCTTCCATAAAATTGTAAAACAAATCACATTACAAAGTGGAATAAACATTGATACATTATCAAATAAAGAATACTAGAATCAGGTTTGTGAATTTCTCTATGTAATTTAAACATATCAATAAGTGTTGTATACTTGTTTGTGTTTAGCTTATGCGAAAAATTGACTCAATATGAAGGATAAAGAATGACATAAAACGAGAGTATCAATTTAGAGAAAAAGGTAATAATGCGAATCACTTTGATGTTCTGATCGGGAAGTTAATTAAATTTTGTATGGGTGGGTATCAAAGGTAGAGATTTTCAGGTAATATGCGTGGGTGGCGCAGATCGTGATGGCAGAGAGACGCTGGATTAATGTAAAAGGGATCTGCGGTCGCAATAAATTCGTCGTCGCTTTCCAGAATGTTCCTGGAAAACTTTCTCGAGGAGAACGTTTTAATTAATTAAAACTTGAGAGCGTTGAAAGGTTAAAGATTTCGCTGGGGTTTACATTTTTGGCGTAGTGCTAATTAAAGTGTAAACAGAGTTTGTTATTATTCGTCGGATGGAAGAGACAGGAAGTTTGGCGGAAAAATACGACGAAGGGAAGAAAAGAGAAGAATTGTGCAGCACGGAAGGAGAGGAGAAAGTTCGGTATTATCCTAAAAGTGTGTCCGTTCGTGTATATAAACAAGCATTTCGCGCTTGGATCTCGTTTGGACAAATCCTCGGGTATCAGGAAAGATTTGTGCGATTCCCGACGCGTTCTTATATACTTAGGGGATGCGCGGCCTTCGCCTCTTTCTCCCTTCTTCCCGAGAGGAAAGCGAATTGTGTTTCCTTTTTAGTCCTCTTAGAACGTGTGGCTCAGGGGTTGGGGAAGCTTTTCGGCGGCAAACCAACGAAGGCCCAACGAAGAAAAAGGGAGGAACGACTAAAGGAAGGGCGAGAAAAGTAATTGCACTTGCAATTCCCCGCTAATACCACCGCAAAGTATCTGCCGTGGACAACCTAATTCCCCGAATCGTAAACTTTACTTTACTTTTATTACAATCCAACCCCCCAAACGTGCACACATACACATCGAATTACAATAAATTCCACTTCATTTTATTAAATCTTATACTTACCGTACATTTTCATAAAGAAAACACATTCAACCCACTTGCAAACGAGTTTATTGTTGGACTGTCGCAATGAGAATAAATAAATAAAAACACCAACAAATCAACGTACATTAATTCATATTCAATTTTGTTTTTATACAAATATATACAACATGATCCACACACCTTATCGTTAAACTCTTAAACTTTAATATATAAGTGTTATTTAATCATTATTTTATTTCCTAAAATGTACATTAATTTACTTTTCTGTTTTTTTTTTCTTTATTTACGGATGGTTGCTTTAAATCTATTACAGTAGAAACTTAACTAGCCTATAGACTATACGGATTACAGTTGTAATTCAATTAAAATTGGCAAGCAAATGCATCGTCTCTCTCTCTCTTAACACACCTAAGGCATTTTGGTCCAAACAATCGCAGGTTCGTTACAACGTCCTCCTCCTCACATACAAAATATCCCATCGATCGAAATCACATGCCAACAAATGCAGAAGACCCGTGATAACTTAAACTAAATACGCGTTGCATGCCCTCTTGTCTGCTACTGTAAATATCTCCACTTCAATTGCAGCAAATTAAGATTCAATGAACAATCAAATCAAACCTTTTAATATTGAAATTATCTTAAAATGGAAGAGTTTGAACGGTGGAAATTGATTAATGATGAATTTGAAATTTACAAAAATAATAGTTGTTTATTTACAATACCAAACAATGATTGTAGAAATAGCTTATGTTTTTTTTTTGTTTGTTCATGATCTAAAGACATACATCGCTGGATACAAAATAAAATCATCTCTTGTGAAAAAATAGACTTTTATATATTTATATATTAGTTAATTTAGTGTTTTTATTAGTTTGTCGGAATAGCCATTTCGTAACATGGAATTCGTGGGATAAAGTGTATTCGAATTATTAGTAATGTAAGGCAACAAATGTTCTACAAGGTAATCACTATCATTCGTCCCAGAGGCAAGTCTGTTTTTGCGGCACGTAATAGGAGAACAGGTGGCATTTCCTGCAGGTCTTGATGCCGCATCTGTAGGACATCGCCGAGTCCTTCGATTCTCCCTTGCCTTTGCAATATTTCAGACCGCACGGATACCAGCCGACGCATATTTCCAGTCTGCATTGGCACGGCGACCACACTTTCTTCGTCGAAGAGCAGTCGGCGAGGACGTGATTGCTTTCGGAATTTGGGAACCTCTTCAGCGATGTCGTATAAGCGCTCTTGGGTAAACCTGAAATCAAAAGAAATCATATATTTAGAATAAGAAAATTAAGTCATTTTCATTCATTTACAAATATTTATTATGAATCCTGCAATCATACTGTTCATTACTTAATTATGAGAAACTACTATGTAGAAGTGGAATGAGAGTTCAAAAGTTATAAAGTTATTAGTTCACTTAATAATACAGTTAAATCTATCGATTATATAATAATACTATATAAGTATATAAAAGGTAGGGCCATTTTACGGATTCTGTGTTCGGAGACAAAAAGGATTTATTAAAAATTCGTAATATTGTCTTGATGTAATTGTAAGGAATATCTCGTGCGTGATGGGGCTCGAACGTCGTGGGAAAACCGACACAAAGAGCAGGATGCTGGGAGATATTCCAAAGGGCGCACATAACGAGAGGAAGGAGGAGTAGGGCAATAAGTGTGCTCACATCAACGCTCCGTGCTCCGAAATTACATGTCATATTTTTATCATATCCTCTTGCGTCTTCTCCTCCTCGAACATTGTCTCCTGTCTGCCTTCCAACCAACCATACAACCATACCATCTATATAGCCTGTAGTATCTACTACTAAAATAATCCATAACAGTTTTATCCCCTGTCCCGATATCACACGTGTGTGACACTGACCAAATATATCCATTATTGCGGGGTGTCCGTGCCATGTATAATAAATTACCATACGGCTCAGTTCGAATAACAACATCATATATTATTCACGCAAATACTAGTAATTATTTTAATGGTAAACCATTTCCCATAGGTCGGCTCGAACGTAACGCAGTATCGCAATATCATTCCATTTTTTTTAAAGAATAATTTATCTTTTTAACTCGTTGAATGCAGGTAAAAAGTATCCAATTATTTTAAATTATAATACACTCATATTTTTTATATTAATAATTGAGTATTATTCAATGTTATTTTTAGTCTTTATCCAAGTGAATTTTCACTTCATTCAATCAGAAGAATTAATACAATATTACCAATTTATATTGTATAAAGAAATCGGACTATTCATCGGAAAAGTTGTTGGTTGTTGAAAAGTTAGTTAGTTTTGTGTGTCCTAATCAGTGATAGAAAGAGAGACACGATTTGCTGACGAGACTTGGAAACTAAAGATTTTAACACGAAAAGAGTAAAGTTTGACAAAACAAAAAGATAGAAGTAAGCAAGTTATAACAAAAGTAGTCAAATGAAAACACTAATTGAAGAAATTCAGGAAAATGTTATTATTTACTATTCAGACAGAAATTATTTTTATTTACTTCTATTTCTGAACGTTTACATAAAATATATATGCGGTTTTTGCGAACTGATCTATGTTTTGCATGGAAATGAATTATGCAATGGGTTCCTTTTCTAATTATCTGCAGAGCTATAACAATATATCTCCGTTAAATTTACGAGCGTGCATGAATTAATGTATCTCTGAAAGTGTGATTTGTAACAAGAAAACGTAGCGTCCCCAGTGGTAAACTAATTAAAGCGAATTGATGAAGTGAATCGTAGCGTTTCTAGTTAACTCCGGCCTGATATTAGGTCTGAATAGTAATATAGTTCGTTTGTCAGTTCATCGTAATCCGAAGACAAGTTTGTCGACGAAAGCGGCGACGAGGAGGGAGCCAGCCTTTTCAATGTGATATCTCTCTACGGACACACGGTCTTAACATTCCCAAAACCCAAAGATTATACAACTGAAACTCCACAGACGTGGTCCATTATGTCGAGGAGGGCATACATCCAGACCCCTCCCGCTTCCACCCCCGGGTTGCGTAACTCTAAAACAGCTCGTAATATATGCAGAGCACTTTATCAATGCGGAGTGTTATATAAATTTGATAAACATCCGCCAGCTGTGTGCAAAATCTTAACTTAACAGACGGTACACTGTAGCAGCTAACCTTCTTTTCTTGAAAAACTTATATTTCGTTGCTGCAAAAAGAAATATTCCATAAATTAACTACCGAGAACACGTATTATTATATATAATTTCGATTTTATAAAGTTTAACGGATACAGAATCGCGTAAAAGTGAGTAAATTGAAATATTCGTGCAGTGATGAAGTTGTAGACGCGTTCATTACTAATGGTGCAAGTGACATGACTTGAATTATTTACTGGTTGCGTTCCAATTATCGTGTACACGGTTTGGTAATTAACAATTGAAATTAAGTACATCGCCAGGGTAAATGGTTTCGTGTCGCGTTAATTCTATGCGAAACTTCTCGCAGGGATTATCGCTGATAACTGTCCGTTCTGCACTCTTTGTCAGAGGTGCAAGTCCTTTTGCTTTTCCTTATCGCAATCGGCGCAAGTTGAAATTGATGCGATTCCAGGATTCCCGGTTTTATAGGGAAACTTGCTAAACGTATGCTTATGTTTAAGATGTGTAAATTCAAAGTTTCGCGTAAACTGGCAAGATTGACAGTCGCAGCGGACGTCACTTAAAAAATTAATTAAAAAATAAAGTTATCGATCTTTCAAAATTCCCAGTGAGAATGGCTCTAACGTTCAAAACCACATACGAAACTTATTTCTGCAAGCATCCCATTAAAACAAGGAAATTGAAACGACCCGTCTATGATGAATTCACCATCCTGCCGGAAGGCGGGAAATGGCTGGACACGACGCTCCACATCGAGGACTCGATGGACGAGGCCAAGGCCATTGTCAGCGATATGTACAAGAAGCGTTACGTGACGACGTACCAGAAGCACTACTGCCACATGCTCGATCATGACCCGGACGCGTGGGAGACGGCCGATCATCAGTTCCTGAAGCTGACAGGAAAAATATACGAGACCAATGATAAAGCCGTTCTGCCACCGTTGAATTCGGCGCGAAGGCTTCTGGGCTACATGAATCCAACTTTGTTCCATATCAACATGAGCGCGTATCAAGATGAAATTGGTAAAACCGGTTACAAGATCCTGTTGAAGGATGTTCAAAGCGAGAAGGCAATAGAACAAACGCGCACAATTGAGACACCCAAGCAAAAATTGGATGAAACGCGAGCACATCATCATCGACGTCAACGTCCTGCCCCTGCAACACAGTGTATTTGCTATTGCTACTGATTAAACGAAATTATTTACGCTGTTTTCTTGCTTGAGTAATCGTTGAGCTTTAGTAATTGTTTCATGTGGAAACTTTAACTTGCTCTGATCCGCATTTATTGCTCATCCTCCAGTAGCTTCTGCTGCGAGATCGCAGTATAATCTAATTTCTGAATGCCGACATGCATGCACTTACTACTCCAGTTCGGTTTATTACCAACAGCGAGTTCCCTTATAAATGTACCCAAGAGCGAGCTTCGTGTGTGTATATATATACACGTACGTGGATGGTGAGGTTGTGTAAAGGAGATCCGGAGCGAGAGTGAGTTGGGTGCTGCTGGCTTGTTATTTCTAATTTACAAGACGTACCAGCGAAGGTAAGGGAAGGTACACGGACGGGAATTAGCGAATAGAATAAATAAATTAATTAAAATCGAAATTAATTACGGGGGCGCAGTTAACGTCTGCCGGCATTAAAGGCATGATGAATTGGGGGCAATTAAAAGATGATTATCTAATTCGCTTATCGATCGCGTCCAATTAATTCCGAGATATGCAATTCTGACGGTAACGAATTGGGTTTACGGTTGCCTCCGCTACCTCCGCATTCGCCGCCCGAAACACCACCCCCGCCCCCCTCAGGTTACAACACGTGCGGCTAACCCAGAGCCTCCTCGAGCTTACGCCGACGTTGACAGCGATCGCAATATCCGGGTTTCGATATTGACGTGATCTAAGTAATCCGATCACCGTGCCATTGCTTATGTTTATATTACAATTTGATGTTGTTGTTCTCCGCAGATAAAAGAGTCAAAAGACCGAAATCCTCATCACATCAGTTTGGTCACAGCGAAAAGAAAATATAAATCTTTAAGAATACATTACGTAAGAACACTTTTAGTTATAATTACTTTGTTATAATTTTATATTAATATAATTTCAAATACCTTTTTGACATTTAAAACACATTTAAAAATCCACACTTATGACTCCTATAACTGCCAGACGTACAAAAAGAATAACTATTGTATATTTTGGAATCAGATGACAATAAAACTTATAAATTGTGTTGCTAACATTCCATGGTATCACAAAGGTATTTGACTTTTGACATCTATCAAAAGTTAAGCAACATCTGCAATAGATATTATTTGAATGAAATTGTTCATTTAAACTACTATAAATGCTTTTTATATAGATAAAATATCAATTATGAAACATACATAATATTTATTATCCGATATCTGTCTTGTAAGATTATCGTTACTATTTTATTATCTGCTCTAGTACTCGTGTATGTGATCCACGTCGCACATGTATACAGTTGAAATACACAAAACAATTTTGTTCGGTCTGCAATATTGCGCACATAAACTCGTAAAATCTTGGGATGCGATAAAGTTGGAGGTGGTGGCGGAGGCGAAAAAAACTTAGAATCGATATTCCTTATTCACGATTTTTAAAGTTTTCCGCTGCGAAACGTGGCCGATTATGCATTTAGATAAGACAGGATCAACTGGTTAAGCATTATTAGCATACGGCGCTAATCCGCGCGCGGCCTGCATTTAATTCGTAATTAAATTAAAATCAAGCTGCTTTCCAATTAAAATAAATCAGCGCGAATGTAAATGGAAGCAAATAATAATAATAATAAACGAACAGATCGATGATAGAGAATTTGTCGCACCGTTTCATGATTGCAAAACATGTCCGGGCAATTGTGGTGTATCCGTGACCGAAATATTATTTCGTATTAAATTGGATATTTTTAGAAAAATTAAGTAATAAAAAAAAGCAATTTCTCGAGTGAATTTGCAGAAAGCGCCTTCTCATTTTCTTGCTCTGTTAACCTTTCAACTGCAATGGAAATTATAATTTCATAAGATCTCACGCTTGTTCGAAATGAACAAAATTGTTATATCTAAATAAACTCTAAGTAATTAAGATTTTATTATTATTGTTATAAAACATTGGTGTTTATATATAAATATTTTCATTCGATACGGTTTAAATAATAGAAAATTGTATATGTGAGTCGTTGATCCATTTCTAGAAATTGAAGCGTTAATAAAGAATGTAGTAAAAGTAAATATAGGAAGTGTGAAATTTAATAAAATATAATTTAATTGAAGATGAGAGATGCCTTCGATTTGCGAGAGCGTTAAGAGCTGTCATACTGTAAGTTGGGTGAGAACAGCTTCAAATAACGAACAGAGAGATGCATTATATTTTTAAAGCAATTCGCTAGGGCATAAAATTGCAAATGTGTTTTCACGCAAAGACGACGTGGCGTGTAATACTTGTCCAATAAACAAGTAAGATAAGTACCTTCCTTGAGATGCAAAAAAAAGAACAATTATCGTTATCATTTTGTGCAATGTAAACATCGGAAGAGGTAGCACGCATACACTTGCAATGTGTATACAGCCAGAAGGCGAATAGGCAAGTAAGCAGACACAACATACATTTTGTATGACTTCGCCGCCGCCGCCGGCGGCGGCTTCAGAATTTATATCGTTCTTCCTCCGTTTATACAACGCACACTTTTCCCCGAGTGTTGGAGCAAACTTAATTCCGCAATTAACTTGAGCTTATCTCCGAACGCCTTGACGTTTTACGTCGAAAATAGCGCGAGGCTCTCTCCGCCACTTTCCACCGTGCGCCAGCCATCATGCTATGATGCCATCGTGCCATGCAACCAGTATTCAAACACAATTTGCACACAAACAACACCACTCATTCAGCTCCTTCAACAACACCACTCCATATAATTTCCGAATGCAATCAACAAACAAATCCAATGGAAATTCTATTCTTGGAAATCCATTATATGCAAAACGAAATAATTTCAAAAGTTACCTCAACTATCATCAAGTAGTTTGTTCAGACAAGTGAATACGTATACTGAGACAGCGTTTTGTAATTTCCGAAAACTTAATAAACCAAAATACATTAGAACAATTCAATAATTGATATAAAATAAATAGAAACTACTATGATTTTAAATTCAATGAGAAAAGGCTAAGGTATAAGATATTATACTATGTATGTCCATACTTTCATAGTTTCCCAGAATGGACCAGTTTCAGTCTTGACACTTAATTCACCACACTATATGTAGACCTAAACATGAAATGCTTTTTTTTCATAAAAGACATGATATGAAGACAAATTTACTGATTTTATTGCGTCAATGAATAATATTTAAAAAAGAAAACTTGTACCAAAATTTGCGAATCAAAATTCCACTTGTTATTCCAGTCGACGTAGCAGGTGTAGATAGGATAGCGGCGATGCAAATTTTGCGAATCAATCGCTGTCGGGCGAGAGCTTCCTTCTTTTTTTTTATCTGTATTTTAATTTCATGCTGAAAGGGCCCAAACTAACAAATATATATATAGAGGGTGCAAAAAAAATTTGTACCAGAGAGGAGAATAAAATCCGTCGATAAATATTCATAGGGTTTCCCGGGCCGTAAGCCGTCCTCTCCAAACGTAACTGCATTACCGGAGGGACGGACGTATTGAATTATAACGATGGATATACGCGTAAATAGAAGGGAACCAAAAAATACTGTATTTATTCGAAGAGGAACAAACATACATAAATATACATTCAATAGTAGTTTATATTTTTCGATGCATCCTTCTCAAATCAGTATGTTTTGAATTACATCTTACAAAGAAAAATAAACATTATATTCAATATCAGAAGAGATGATGAATAACGTTTGCAATCCCAATTGGTATGGACAAAAAAAATCATAGATGCATACAGTTGCAAATGTGTGGCTTGCGGCGCATTTAATACAATAAACAAATACAATGGATATTGTTGCATATTGAAAGTCGGCCTTCCGGAATGGAATTGTTTTATGATTCCGCTTTACTGTACACCAGTGCAAATACTAATTGGCACATTTTATCCATAATTGATATGTAACTCACTGGCATTCGATGCACGCATCCACCTCTATCAAATGCACGCGATCTACGTCCAATTAGTTACACCCAAACTGAGACAAACAATCGATGCGTTCCGAAATTTACGATCGTTTTGCAACGTTGCACACCGTTCTCCCAACACCACCCGCCTCGACCCCCCGAACACACATGCAAATTCATCCAGAAATATTCGCAGTCCATATGAGAACAAAATCGACATGTTCGAAGTAATCCTGTCTTGTAGTCGCGTTTGTCATTGCAACCAAGAAAATATGTCGAAAATGTTTGATTTCACTTCAATATAAGATTTACTGTTCAAAAAGCTTCTCAAATTTTTATCAATAGATCTTGTAGCTGTTTCAAAACAATGCTTTACTTTAGAATCGTCAATTTACCAATATTACCGGTAAATTTTCACAACAAATATCGGTAATTTAAATAAAAATGAAAATCTTCTCACATCGGCAATATGTACTGAAATTTAAACTTTGAACTTGGAGTCAAGAATATAAGATTCGATTTGGCAAAAACTAGAGAGAAACGCGTAAAGCTTTGTTTGCGTTTATAATGTTTATTAAAAGTCCGCCGCCCCCTGTGATACAAACCGCAGCCTAAGAGTTCCCCAGGGGGTGTATGTTTTTCATATTTCGCAGAGCAAGGACAGTCGAGGGGGTGGAGGTGCGGCATTACACTGTGTGAAACTTTATAAATACTGTTATCGCGCGTTGGGCGGCGTCGCATTATTAGAGAAATCGCGTTAATGCCTTATTTTACATAGCGACGGGGTGGCTGTGGCTGTAGAGGTGGAGGCGGCTACGACGGAGGCGGTTGAAAGCCGTGTGCCATCGCAATTTTATACGCGTCTGTATACGTACGACGTGTGTGTGTGTGTATATGTATGTGCATCTGTGTATGTGTGTTTCGTTTAGCGAGGAAATTGCGCGTCGGATGCTCATTCGCATACGGAATTTGTTTATTCAAATTTTCACCGAGCGTTTCGCACGACCGAAATAAAGAAGAGGAAAAAAAAACCGGAAAGCAAAAGAAAACAACATGAAAAATAGACAACGACGATGATTTTCTCTTCTCTTATTGTATTTGGAGAGAAAACAAAGATCCGTAGTCTGGAGACTTCAAGAAACAAAACGAACAGTTAAACGTAAACTGTAGTGTAAAAGAATAATTAATGTTATAATTGGATTATAATTAATTTGTTGCATAAAACAATTAAAAATAAATAATAAATGATGTGGAACTACAGTAGCGCACGTAAAGTTGACTTGTGACTGAAATTTCCAACTTTTATTATCTTAGATTTCACTAATTCAAAGTTTACGTTCTCGTGTGGATTTTAACGCGTCGGGTCGGGGAACTTTTTTAACCATTACCCCAAAATATTATTGCGTAAGTCGATATTACCCCCCCCATTCTGAATTCATGAAACAATCAATGTAAATTTTAAATAAACATTATTTATTGAATTAATTTGCATTTACATATTTATAAAAAAAAAGTTACATGAAACTAGTAACAAATAGTAATAGACAAACAAAATAAAATTCTTAAATTGGAACAAACAGAAATTAATTGAAAACTTACCCCTTCAGGTTTTGGAAAAATGATGTTGGAAAAATGTTTTGATATAATTACTTTAAAATTGGGAATTTTTGATGTAAGAGCAATTTGAATACAGTCTTCGGCGTTTAATCGATTTCTGTTTTTCGTTTTTATGTTCATTAGAGCGGAAAAGCCTTGTTCACAAAGGTAGGTTGTTGCAAATGGCAGCAATTTTTTTACCGCCTCCTCATGTGCAATTTTGAAAGCCTTTGCAGCCCTTGACAACCAAAAAGACGACAAGATTTGCTTTGGTCTCAAATTGAATACGTGATTTAGTATTGGATCGAAGTTCAAGAATTGCCTGGAGATTCTTCTAGTATGTTAGTAATTTCACATTTAAAAGGATCTACAACCCAATTCACAGTTTGTACATCAAGATCTGGAAAGTAGTCAGAGAACCGCTCTCTGAGTTTGGTAAGATGAAATTAGAAAAATTACCCAATTTTGGGTAATTTACCCGATTACTAAAACCGATTAAGTGCGATCAAATCTTCTGTAAGATCAAAAATTTGATTTCTTCTCCTTCATCATAAAATATGTAAATTTGTATTATTTCTTTTCTTTAAATATATCTTAATGAAGCGAAGCTTCGAAAGAATGTAGCCTACATATAAGTACATGCTAGGTTACTTTGAAAAAAGCTTTATTTGATATAGTACTTCGATTATAGAAAAGCAGAATTTATGAAATATTGAGAGAAACTTCTCGAAATATACCTTTTGAGAGGTCGGTCACGGTTGAATCATTTATTACGTCGATTCGTGCATTACGAACAATTCATTTGGTTGCATTCGATAATAAAAATGATGGAACACCTTTGTAAATTAGAGTAAAGTGCGGCCAAAGTGCACACAATGGACCGCAACAATAACGTCTGCGATGTGGGGGCGGCGGGCTTACGTCGTCGGTGGCCGTCACCGGTCGGCGCCTGGTGGGTCGGGGGCGGCAGCGGCTTTTGAATAATTTAACCGACAAGGCAACGCCGCCATAGAGCCGCACGTGACAAATGCGGCATTAATATTAATACAGGTAATCAAACGGAGGTGGCGGTGGGGACGTGGGGCATCGGAACGCCACAGCCGCCGCCATAAATCACCGGCTCTCTATCGCGACGCGTATGCAATACCAATACTCACACCATACTCATGATAACGACTGCTCCTGCTACGATTAACTACTGAATACAAATAAGTTTACTACAATGATATCCAGATATATACTACCACAATCTAGGTCTTGATAGTTACACCCGCAAGCAATAATATGTTGATATCGAAGGTGCAATAACAAGAAATTATGATGACAGTTGAAAAATATGAGAAAAACAATTGGTAATTAGGGTAAAATAATGTGAAAAGTACGTTTTGTTATATTGATTGTGTTATATTGAATTGAAATTAATTAAAATTTTCGATAAAACATAATTTTTGTGAAAGGCGCCTTAAAATTAATGTATAAATTACTATTGTCATTCACGTGGCAGCTACTTAATTTGAATATTTGCAAAATTGCGAACAAGCTGGTATTAGGTTGAAAGATTTAGAAAGTTTCATAAAATTCGTTAAGCCACGTTGCATATTTATGAAGTGAAATCTTTTACAAACATTTATAATTCACCCATTGTCTTGTTTTAATATATAATTATATAGCAATTATATAATTAATTACAAATATATCTGTTTCTCATTGAAATTCAATTCATCAATTTCATAATCCTCTTCATTGATATTTCTTGAACAGTACAGGCATCTGCTTTCTTTTATTCCATAGTTAGTACAATATTCGTAGCTATTTCTGCTTTATGACTTTTAAGTTAAAGGTCAATTTATCACTGTTTTGAAGAATTATATTTAAATCGATTATTATTTACTACGAATAATGCTGCTGCTGAAAAACACAGTGTGCGTTCCATTCATCTCTTTGTCTTTCTATTTTCGATTTACGACAACACGAGAACTGTTGACAGGGCATTGGACATCAATCATCAGCGGCCAACATGTTGTTGCCTGAAAATCACACTCGTGCTAAACGTGGAGTGTTTGGAATGCTAATCCATCAATACTTGTTTGTCTTTCGAAATTATAAAATGAAGAATAGCCGAACAGCTTTTGCACGGACGTAATTAGTTACATATTTTATTACGTTTCGAGCGGAATAAATGCCATGTGCGGAGAGAACAAAATGCCATTGAATTTATACGTTGCGAGTTGGATAAAGTCCATTATATAAAATACAACACAGCGACATGAATATATGTATGAGACAAGGATTGCATTCTTTCATATACGAAACTACTGGTCCGGTAAATATAATAAAAGCCTTATTAAAATCGGCTGATGACATACAGGTGAATTGTAGTGCAATTGCACGTATTCATTACTTTGTAGCAAGGTCGTTTGTTATAATTAGAATATTTTGCATTTATAAATCGATTCGAAATACACATATATTCATTAATGCTGTCGAAATATTCATTTCTAAGTAAATGAATTAATGTTCGAAAAACTGTTAATGCGTTTAATGTCAAATAAATTAAATTACTAAAGTGGTTTTCGCTCGCGAAAACGTTAATAATTTTGATTAAAAGCTACATTATTATAACATTGATTTATTACTCTTTGTTCACATTGAAATAGTACAATAATTAATAGATTCATAATAAATTTCGTTGAAATATTATTATATCTATATAATATATATCAAAACAAAAAAGTTAGATTATTTCGCAGTGACAAAACATTTATTTTTGAAAAGCTTCAACGATAAATAATTCAAAGTCGATTTGGATGGAGTTCTTGGTGAGTCTGCTACTACTACTACATATGCAACAGTTGCAAATTGGTTTGCTGAATTTTAATGCGGTCGTACAGGCACACATGATCCACAAATGTTCGGGTTAGTCAAACTTATCTATCAAATAATAAAAAAGGGTCTACGAAAATGTAACAGAAAGGAGATGTAATAATTATTATGATTCTTAGTCACAATGACTGAACACGAGTTCTAATGATCATTACATGATTATTGATTGAAAAAAAGTAAGTAAAAATTGTGATATATTACTTACATTTTACATTATCTTGTTTTTAGACTATATTTTTGAAAAGTTTTGTACAGTCTGTTTAGTTTTCGAAACTTTTCGAACAATTTTCGTACTTTAGTAAATGTTTCTCATTTAAATTCGTAACTAGTACATGTGAAGTTTGTAGAATAAATAATAGTATGTCACAAGTAAGGTCAGTTCATTGTGTATAAGTTAATCACAACTAATGGAAAGACCGGGCGTTTACGTCGGAAGCTTTTAAAGATTAATGAATGTGTATGGAGTGGAGGCTGGTAGGGCGAGAAGTTTGTTTTTAAGTGAGGATACATAATGTTAAACATCGTGCGGAAGTGTCGTTTGGAAGTAATGAAACTATCTAATCCCAGCCTCAATTTGTGGGCATTTGCTGAGCGATCCGGAATTGAACCGCGCGCCATGGGCTTATATGTGAGCCGGAGGAGGGTAAAAGCTCCATGTTCTAATCGTTATCGCTTATCATTCCATTCCAACTCCACCTCAAACTCGACTTGACGCTCATTAAAGCCCATTATCATTCCGTACGAGATGGGAACTTTTTTACGGCACTCGCCTCAGCCTTCACATCCACATCCACCTCCCCCGACGCTATTATTAAAGAAGATATCGTGAATACAAAAAAAAAGAACTAATTAATTGGCAGTTTTCGAAAAAAGATTCGTGTTTTCAGCTTAGCTTTCTTTTAATTCTGTTTTATCAGGAACAATGCATATAGACTATGTAGAGTGATGTATGTTCGGGTATTATATGCGTTCATTGGTAGTATATTTATTCCGACAGGTCTCCATATTGTATTGAATAGGTCCATTAGGATGTTTTAGTGCAGAGGGAAATGGAATAGTCCCAGTCTCTGACATTAATTTCCGGCCGCGTCCGCCGTCGACTGTATATAATAAAACCATGGCGAGCGAGCGAGCGGAGCGACGAGAAGGGCGCCCCCTTTTGCCGCCCCCCAGGGCACCACACGTTTCGACTACATAGCAGGCTATGTGTATTTTTGCACTGGCCGCCTACAATCTACCTCCATCACCACCCCCGCCTACCCGACTCTTTTTCAGCCATTGTTTGGCGGGGAATTCGAACCCGGCTGCCTCCACCCACCCAAAAGCTTGACAGTTTCGAGGGGTGCGCGGGGGGCGGTATGGTGCTCAGTGTATCCCCATGCGACAGTACCAATCATCGGATTAAAAAAAAAATCAGCAACAAAACAGAGGGGGAAACGAGGCAAATAAAAGCCTTTTTTCTCTATCTCTCTCTTTGTTTTCCCGTAACCGCTTTTTTTTGTTTTTTTTTGTATTCCCTACTTTTATTTGTTGGATGAAAATAATATATTAATTAAAGCATAATTAACTGTAATCGTTATACGCATTAATGTCCGATTATGTGGATTAAAATGTCTTAATTAAATTTCGTTTAGCAGACAATGGAATTTTTGTACCGTATTCGAATTTTGGTATCGTGTAATGCGAGAATGAGCTTTCAGGAATTCAAGGAATATGCCAGTATATTAACTTTTCAACAGGAATTTTATTTTATACGCATTATTTTTACCACGCAATTTTAAAGTTTACATAATAAATCCATATAATCAGGATTTCATATTTCAAATAAATTAGTTCACTAGTTTGTTATAAACATTTAAACTCACATTGTTTAATCGTTGATTTCCTACTTATTTCAGAGAACGTTTGATCTTGTATTTGGAGATATATATAACAAAACTATATTTTATTACCTTCATTATTTTCAATTACTCAAATCCAGATAACCGATCTAGTGTTATACTGATTATATAACTAAAGCGTGTCCCAAATTGAACTGAAGTAGAGACATGGCAAATATTGTTTACTTGGCAAATATTGTTTAGTATATAATTATTTCAATTTAAACATGGAATGAAATGCATTATTTACATATATATTTTTCCGTAATAATTTGAATTTTTAATAATTAACGCTCGTTTCAAAATATTCGAATCGAAACGCAACATTCTTTATGCGAATATAAAAATGTGTTTAACATTTGAGATACGCAGTTGCAGCTGCAGCTGATTCTTCGTGATGATTCGCGACGTTTCGTATTTCCGAACGATTGTTTAAACAATGCAGGTGTTCACACTGCACTCTTTTCGTGCCCAAATATGGATTTGTTTATACGTACGCACCTGCTGCTGTGATTCATCGAGACGCAGGTGTTTTATCGTTAAATTTCCATGAAGCGCGCAAATATAGAATTTTAATAATCCGTAAATACAAGAAATAATTTATAATTACTAAATAATTAAAATGTTCACTATTTTCTTAAAGTTTACTGTTTCATTTTCCTTATAAAGTGTTATATTTTAATGTATTCTACATGATGTACAAGTGAAAGTAGTTTGTTTCAACGTACAAGTACTTACATAAGTTACTTGGCAAATATCGCTTATCGATATCAATAAATTTGTATTACTTTCTTATCAAATGTGCGAAATAACGCACTATAATTTTCGTGGCTCAATTGTTTAGATGTGTCGCAGCTGCGTTTCGCAAATGTTTTATGACATTTCAAATTTATTAAATATTAAAAATAGCATAAACAGTTCAAAACTCTTGTCTAATCGCAAATGTTTTGTCACTATTCATTGAAATAATTAAAAATATTCTATTATTTTATTTTATATGTGTCTTTCTGTTTATATAATATTTGCTAAAATTGA